TAAAATGCCAAGTGTGTAAGTGCTATAGGAAGAGGGACAAAGAATGCCAGATGTGGGGCGGGGATGTTGTATACTGTGGGACGGGCAGAGCATGACAAGATGTGCCAGCCTCATCTTACACATTCCCTGCTCCTGGAATCAGCCATTTCTCCCAAGAAGACTTGATTTCCAAACTCAAGATGTTCATTGTTATTGGTTTGGTCATTATTTTGAAGCCTAATATATTTCATTTCTTCCACAGTGAGAATTCTGGGTTTTCAAAGACACAAGGATGATAAATTTAGAGAACTCATAATTTCTTATGTGCTTTATCCTTCATTATGCATACAGTAGATTCAGGTTAACAATGCTACATGTCTATCAATAAATGATTGTTAAATAAATTATCTATCATATGTATGCAATGGCATACCCAAAAGTGCATGTAGGAACACCAAAAAAAGGATGAAGTAGCTTTTTATGTTCTGATATAAAAAGATCTTAAAGACATAGTAAGTGAAAAAGAGCAGAGTCAGGCCAATAAGTATACCATTTGGAAGAGGAGTAGGGGACAGAACATATATTTATATTGGCCTGTATGTGTCAATTAATTGAGCATCTTTAACATAAGAGATTTTTCTAAAATGTGTTATGCAAACTTTTCTCCTGCTTTTGGATTGCCCCCAGCAAGATCCTCACCCTCTGGCTTCAGGAAAAGTAGAGTTCCAATCATAGCGTTTCTATATCATTCTATTTTTTTTAGGGTTGGGGAGGGGCAGAGGGAGAGGGAGCAAGAGAATCTTAGGCAGGCTCCATGCCCAGCATGGAGTCTGATGCTGGGCTTGATCTCACAACCCTGAGATCATGATCTGAGCTGAAATCAAGAGTCGGACGCTTAACTGACTGAGCCACCCAGGCACCCCTATATTCATTCTATTTTAAACTATTAAATAAATGTTAACTTCCAGTACACACCATGCCCAGATTTAAATTTGAGGTTATAAAAGGAAATGTCAGGGTGTTCTAGATCTTTTATTAACAAGCACTAATCCCATAAAAGTTTTGAGAATTGAACCATATCTCTAAATCTTACATTCACTTTATTTCCCAAAAGTGCTCAACATTCTATTCCCAAATTTGGGATAGACATCTAGGCAGTGCTTAATTCTGACTTTATTGACAGAATTTCTTGTAATGGAAGAGAGGGCAAAAGATGAACTTAAATTTGTAGAGAGAGGAGGAAAAGGAAGTGAAATACCCCATAAGTTTATATTTTCATGAAAATCACATTTGTGAGGGTAAACAGGACAGAGACCTCTGTGGAATATTATGTTTGACTTATTTTGCATCTCTTTGCTCCTATTACTGAAATGAAGATTTACTAGTAATATGTTGGTATTATCACTATAAGAAAATCTGGGCCTAATCAAGTCAATTCATAAGGAAAAAAATGAACCACTTTCTGTATGATCTCAAAGAGAACAATTCCAACTGATAAAAATGGGTGCCTCTCCAGAAAGTTAGCATTTCATTTTTTGCCTCCAAATACCTGGCTTAGGAATATCTAATAGACATGTAGACACACCTCCTGGAAAGCAAACACTCAGAAGATCCTATATGTGAGAAGAAAGATTAGTAGCTAATTGAGGTTTTCTCCCACTACTAGAAGAAATTAGAAACAATCTTTATTGTAGATTAGGGCTTGACAGAATCATTCTAAAAACATATCTTGCCACATTGCATTAGGATATGCTGGAGAGAAACTTGAACCATTTGCTAGCACCTGCTAGAGAATAGCACTCCCAGACTAGTTAATACAACAAGTATCTGGGCAACCTTTTCCTGTAGGCACTTCTTTGTTCCGGTTTCATGCACTCACCAAGAAGCCTTCGGTACACTTGAAGTCTCTTCTGATCTGTAAACCTGACCAAATAGACTATAACCTGAGGCTAAACTATAGACTTCACGTTCCACAATTTAAAAGCCACTTTTAAAAAACATGAATATGCAGGGGAGCCTGGGTGGCTCAGTCATTAAGCGTCTTGCCTTCAGCTCAGCTCATGATCCCAGGGTCCTGGGATCGAGCCCCGCATCGGGCCCCCTGCTCAGCAGGAAGCCTGCTTCTTCCTCTCCCACTCCCCCTGCTTGTGTTCCCTCTCTCGCTGTGTCTCTCTCTGTCAAATAAATAAATAAAATCTTTAAAAAAAAACATGAAATGCATATTGATTTGGTTGGATTGAGGACTCTCAACTCAGTGAGATATACACATGAAATAATCCCCTCTCCAATAACCACTCTTAACTGTTGAGTGGAATACTTTCTTTCTCACTGGTACTTGGCAACCATAAAAATACCTCAGTCTTAATCCATAAATTCTCTTGTTTCTTTGGTCCCTAAAAATATTATTTCAGTTATTACAGATTGGCCATGTCCATTTTTTATATTAAGACCTTATTTTTTGGAGCAGTTTAAGGTTCACAGAAAAATTGAGGAAAAGGCACAGAGATTTACCATATACCCTCTGCCTCTACACATGCATAACCTCCCCCATTATCAACATTCCCCACCAGAGTGGTACCTTTGTTGTAACTGATGAACGTGCATTGATACATCATAATCACCCAAAGTCCATAGCATATATTATGGTCCACTCTTGGTGTTGTACATTCTAATGGGTTTGAACCCATAGATATATATAGATACATAGATATATAATGACATATATCTATCATTATGGTATCATACGAAGTATTTTCACTGCCCTAAAAATCCTCTGTGCTTGCCTATCATCCCTCCTCCCAATCCCTGACAACCACCAATCTTTTTTTTTTTTTTAATTAATCTCTGTGTCCAGCATGGGACTTGAACTCACAACCCCGAGATCAAGAGTTGCATACTCTATCCATTGGGAAAGTCAGGCACTCCTGATATTTTTAACATAGTCTTCATGGTTTTGCCTTTTCCAGGATGTCATAGAGTTGGAATAATATATTCAAGAGCCTTTTCAGATGGCTTATTTCACTTTTTTTGTGTGAGGACATTAGCTTTCAATTCCTTTGGGTAATTACCAAGGAGCATAACTGCTAGATCCCGTGATAAGAGTATGTTTAGTTTCACTTTTGAAGTGGCTGTCAAAATCTTTCAAAGTAGGGGCGCCTGGGTGGCTCAGATGGTTAAGCGTCTGCCTTCGGCTCAGGTCATGATCCCAGGGTCCTGGGATCGAGTCCCGCATCGGGCTCCCTGCTCCTTGGGAGCCTGCTTCTCCCTCTGCCTCTCTCTCTCTCTCTGTCTCTCATGAATAAATAAATAAAAATCTTTAAAAAAAAAAAATCTTTCAAAGTGGCTACACCATTTTGCATTCCCACCAGCAGAGAATGAGAATTCCTGTTGCTGCACATCCTTGCTGGCATTTGGTGTTGTCAGTGTTCTGGAGGTTGTCCATTCTAATTTGCATTTCCCTGATGACATATGATGAGGAACATCTTTTCTGATGCCTATTTGCTATCTGTGTATCTGCTTTGGTGAGGTTTCTGTTAAAGTCTTCGGTACATTTTTAAATCAGGTTGTTTGTTTTCTTACTGTTCAGTTTTAAGAGTTCTTTGTATATTTTGGCTTGTTGTCCTTTACCAGATATGTCTTTTGCAAACATTTTCTCCCAGTCTGTGACTTGTCTTCTCATTCTCGACATTGTCCTTCACAGAACAGAGGTTTTTCATTTTAATGAATCCAGTTTATCAATTTTTTTTTCATTATTTTGCCTTTGGTGTATCCAAAAAGTCATCCCCATACCCAGGGTCGCCTTGGTTTTCTCCTGTGTCACCTTCTGTGAGGTTTATAGTTTTGCATTTTACATTCAGATCTGTTTTGAGTTACTTTTTGTGCAGGGTGTAAGGTCTGTATCCACATTCTTTTTTTTTTTTTTTTTTTTTGCATGTGGATGTCCAGTTGTTCCAGCACCATTTGTTGAAAAGACTGTCTTTGTGCCATTGTATTGCCTTGGCTCCTTTGTCAAAGATAGTTAACTATATTTATGTGGATCCATTTCTGAGCTAACTATTCTGTTCCACTGAGCTATTTGTCTGTTGTTTTGCTAACACCACACTATCTTGATTACTGTAGCTTTATAGTAAGTCTTCTAAAGTCAGACAGTGTCAGTCCTCCAACGTTGTTCCTCTTCTTCAATATTGTGTTGGCTATTCTGGGTCTTTTGCCTTCCCACATGAACTTTAATATCCATTTGTCAATATCTACAAAATAACTTACTGGATTCATTTTTTAAAATGGCTAGGTTTTGTCGACATTAGAGCCACATCAGTCTAAAGCTTTCTCTTTTAACTGAACATCATTTGAGGATTCCTACCAGTCTGTGGCTTCTGTTCCAAGTGGGCAAATCTCAAGTTTGACCCTGGATTCCCTTGTCTCTCCATATGTGGGGGCAGCAGTTTGCCCTGGATCTCCGTTCTCTGACGGGCCCAACAAAAGTCATTTTCACCTTGTTTAGCTTTTTCTTGTCGTAGGGACAGGAGTAGCAACTTTCAATCTTTTTACATGTAGAAGCTGAAACTGGAAATCTATAACCCAATTTTGAACTAAGAACTTTAAGAAAGACTTGAAAAGAAAAAATATGGCCTACAGACTGAAGCCAAAGAGCTCTATAGATGATTTTTCCATTATTCAACAAGTGGAAAAACTTACGTAGTTCTTTCAAACTGGTGAAATCTGTTTATAAGTCTGACTTAGTTCTTTCTTTAATTTCGTCTAGTCAGCCAAAGAGTGCTGACACAGATGATAATTATTATAAGAATGAGACGTACATTTCTAAGGGGCCTTAGTTGTATTATTCCAAAATGCCAAAGAATGTAACTCTAAGAGTATATCGTTTTCACTAAAAAGTTGAATATTATTTTCCCCAGCTCCTGGAGCTTTCCTCGCTTGAAATTGGAAAGGGGGAATTTGAAATCCAGAATGTCATTGCTTTTATTCATTGACTCATATTGCCTCCCTCATTTTTTAACCCACAGAAGTTTTGCTTCCCATCAAGATCAAGAGCTCATTCAGACCAGGTACTTGATCAGCCTCTACTTTAGCCTAGCCTGTTGCTCTGCACACAACACACCTTCAGTAAATACTTGCATTAAATTGGACGTAGACTTATGTGACTTTTACTGCACTGGGTTGCCAGTTTGCCATGAGCTTTGTGTCCCAATCTAGCTTGTTATTCTTATCTCTTGGCTTAAAATATTGTGCCTTGCAAAAGGCTTCTGTGAGCAAACACTTGAGTAAAATGAATTACCCCCTTTCAAAAGGGCCTGAATATGGTTTTTCACAAGACCTATTACCATGCCTTATACCTCATTATAATCTACTGGGGAGTTATTGTGCCTTTTGTAATGGAGGCTAAATTCCTATTTTTCATCACCTGATTAGTATTTCTGAATTGGCTCTGGTGCCAAAAGGAATATTTTCCCTTACTCTTTCTCCTTTTCAGTAGTAATGTAAATATAATAAAAAGCAGTAGAATGCATCCCCTCTCCAGAAACAAACAAAAACCAATTACGGCCAATCCTGAGGGAAGTCCTCAGTGAAGAAAGCCAAGAAAAGCAGAGAGAAAGCTGAATACCTCTGCCTTTATCTGTTCTCTCTGCCTGGCTTTTTAGGATCATATTTTCACAGACCAATTTGGGTTCTTTCATGCCCAGGTGGAGAAGAAGAATTTTTATCCTCAACACATGATTGATGTGTTGAAATGTATGCAATTTAATCGGAGAGGGGTCCATTCCTTTTAGGGCTTATTTGTGATGTGTGTTTTCTGGCTATAGGACAAAACTTTGGGCAGCCCTAGGAAGCCAACCAAGGAGGCATTAATGAAGGCTCAGCCTGCTAGCTCCCTGTCCACCTTCTTTGCCTGCGGTCTGACAGGAAGAGGGCCTGGGAGGATGTGGAATCACGGAAGGGAGATTCCCTGCCCCCTCTCTGTGGCCACTGTCACCACCCTGTTCTGCATGTCCTGGGTCCCCCTGTCCTTAAACCAGTTCTTGCCTCCCTGCACTCAGCTGTGAATCACAAGGAGGCCAACTTCTGCAGAGAATGTTCCCCAGGCTCCTCCGGTTTTACTTTTAAGGCTGGTTTTCTTGCTTTGATCATCTCACTAATACCACCGTGCTAAATGAAATTCTTTTCCTTCTTTCTCTGGCTTCTGGCTGGAGGGAGATTGAAGGGAGGAGGGTTCTTGCCTCCCTCTTGGCACCGGGAGGGAGGGCAGCATTTCTAGCAGTGGCTCTCCCGCTAAGACGTGCCCCCCCCCCCCCCCGGGTTCCAGCTTCCACCAGGATGCCCGACTCAGGCTCTGGTCCCTCTGTCCCCCCCGCCAGAGGGCTTCCTGCTTTGCTGACATCTGGTTTTGGCTTCTTAGTCCCCTGTTGGCCTTCACAGCTCCTCCACCATCCATAAAGCCAGTTCCCAGCATTGAATTCCCTCTGTGGGAGATCCTGAGTGGTTTCATTATCCTGCTTACCCTTTGACTGCTACCCAGGTCCTTGGTATATTTGTCTTAGCCCTGGTAGGACAGCTCCTTGATGCCAAATGCTTTATTGTCACAAACATGCTTTTTAAAAAGTTAATTCAGATCAAGCATGATGCATTAATGCTAATATGTCATCTCAGTGTGTCACTGTGAATACTTATTGCCAAAAACTCATAAGGTCAAGTCTGATACCTGATCACTTAGAAGGGCTTAGATGCGCTTTTCTCAATGGACTTGAATCAGGCAGAACATTAACTCTTCAAAGGGTGAGCAAAGATGTCTCTCGAAGAAAAGTGCAGGTGGGATGGGGTCATCGTACCTGTAGCATAGGCACGGGAGTGGGGTAGACCTGGATGCCACCCCCAGATCTTCCAGGTAGTAGCTGAGTGAGCCCAGTCCCTATGTGTCTCTGGCCTTCGTGTTCTTGAGGAAAAATGAGATAGCACAGAGAGAGGTGCACATGTGCACAACACGTGTCAAAAGCCTGACATAGGAGGTGCTTGGTCTTGCCTTCAGGACTGCTTTTCTTGTTTTGATTCTCACTAATATTACCGTGCTGCTTCTTTCCCTCTCCTATTTAACCTAATCATTTGTAAAATGAAATTCCTTTCCTCCATTCCCCAAAGCACAGCTAAGGTGAAATTCTTAAAAGGAACTTCCCTTGAAAGCCAAGGCAAACCAAACAGGAAGTAAGCAGATCCAAAAGCAATAAAGCCACGCTTATAATGGAGAGGTCCCTGAAAGGCACTGGCCAGTGATTTTGTTTCTCAGGAACCTGGACTGCCTGTGTTACAGATGCCCTCTGTCTCACCGGCTCTGCTAGGCATAGAATAGGAATTCTCGCTTAACTGGGTGTAGTGTCCCCTTTCAAAGACAAGTTTTTATTCCCCCAAAATAAAACTTTCCCTGCTTTCACCCTGCATGGGTTCCTTGGAGGTTTTATTTAAATAAAAGGACTGTCCCATTCTCAAAGCATCCATTCATTGTGTTACCCCTAAACCTACAATCTTTGAGCCAGAAAAGGTTCTGAGAACGCTGCCTTTCAACAGATTAAACAGCCTCTGGTCCTGGAACCAGAACTAGGATTATCAGACTGAATGGCAACCTTGCGTACATTTTACCTCTTTAGAAGTTGCAAATCAAAGGAACAATTCTGGTTGAAGCCTGATGCTTCCCTTGCTTTCGTAATACTTTCTTTTGAGGGGTCCAAGGAATCAAAAAGGGAACTATACAAATTAACTAACCTAGGGGCCACTTTTAGCATTTTGTTCAAATATAGCCACTTTTGTAGAAACAAATGAAAAGATTCAATCTTCAAATAATGTTTTATTGCACCTACCAAAGAATAAATATTCATCAGTAATCCTCAAGCATGGACATCTTCTTGACCTCTCTCCCAGCCAGCCTCTCAAATAGTACGGCAAAGGGAAGTTAACTTTTTCCTAGGAAAGACAAGGTTACCTCAGAAGCTAATCCCACATCCATCTACTCTAGACCACATACACCTGCACCTCTTTCTTCTAAGACAAGAAGAAGAAATGGATTTCTGTTATCTTCAAGAATAACCAGAAGCTTCTACAATTTACCTACATAACCAGGCATAGTCCTAGACATATAAACCAACCCGTGTAATGTAAAGAAATGGGATACATGACTAATGGGAGCTCACAACTCGGAAATAATCAGCATGTTTTAACCACACACATTTCCAGGGCCCTGGCACACGCTGGTCTGGTGCTTTTGAACACTTTTTCCGGTGACTTGGGATCACACAACTCCGTCTTCTTTGAGGAAGTAGTACAAACACAGGGCACGGTCACTCTCCCAGCTAACGGTCTGCCCTAAGGGAATGTGGGCTATTTCTGGGCAGAGTCAGTCTCTGTTTAAATCTCCTGTTGAACTGAACCAGATTGATATTCCTTGGTCTATGCTGGTTGTAAACAGTGTGCTGCTAAAATACTATAATATTGCTTGACACCTGTGCTTTAGTGATTTCAAGAGGAGAAAAAAAAAGTCTCCTTGATGCCCTGGAGGTGATGGAAATGTTTAAGTAAGTCAGTAAGATTTCAGTCATTCAGAGTAAATCAGCATCTCATCTATGTTCTTCTTAAAGCTTTGTATTTTGTCCCCTATTTTCTTAATTCTATTGTAATATCAAAGCAGCATCTCATCTTAAATTTGCTGTAGATAAAAAGGAAAGCATGTATTTATACATGTGTATTTGTATTTAGGTGCATAAAGTATTTTAAATTAATACTGACTTTTATTTCCTCCATTGATTCTATTTTTTTAATTAGACCAGAGGGAAAATCTACCAATTCATTTTCAGTGTAATGGCTTGATGTTGCAAAAAGTAGGGTTTTTAGTATAAATAGTGTAATAATGTCTGTATTAGGGGGTTTTTTGTTTGCTTTTTTACTGCTGTAACAAATTACCACAAGCTTAGTGGCTTAAAACAACACAAATTAATAATTCTACAGTGCTGTAGGTTAGAAGTCTGAAATGGGTCTCACAGGGTTAAAAATAAAGGTGTAGGCAGCCAATTCCTTCTGGAGGTTCTAGGGGAAAATCCATATATTGCTTCACCTTTTCCATCTTCTGGAGGCTGACTTCCTTCCTTAGCTCTCGGTCCCTTCCATCAGCAAAGCCATCAAAATCAGGCCAAGTCTGACTCACGTTGCTGTCTCTCTGGTTATAACGCTTTTGCTTCCCTCTTCCATCTTTTAAGAGCCCATATCATCACACTGGACCCACTGGGAAACACCAGGATAATCTTCCTATATTGAGCCTTAACTTAATCACATCTACAGAGTCCCTTTGTCATATAATCTAATATAGTCACAGGTTCTGGAGATAAGGACATGGACATCTTGGGGGGGGGGGATGCATTATTCTGCCTATCACAATCTCATAACTAAACGTGCCATCATCTCCTACCTTCTGGTATTGATGGTCCTACCACCATCTTTGACCACACCTATCTTTCTCCTCCGTCTGGAAATGCCATTGCCAGATATTACAGAGAACTTGCGGGAGGGGTTTGGGAGGACTAATGGACCTACCTATGTAGCTGTGTACCAAGGGATTTTCCTGGGATCCCAATTCAGCAGCTTCATCTGAAGAATGTGGATAATGGGGAGCTTCATGTAGATCCTAGAGCTGTTCTGACAGGCATGGAATCCTGAAAACTGTACGGCACTTTGCAAATGAAAGAGTTGGTACACTAGCTGTCCCTGTGGGTTCTAGGAACTTGAGTCCATAAAACCAGCAAGAAGGATCATTTAGACATTAAAACTTTTTTTTCCAAAAGTACAAGTTGCAGAAAAAGAATCTTAGCTACATGACAGAGGATGAAATCGCTCATTTCCATTCTAAATCAATACTTTATCCCTATCCCCTGAGATAGGTCATTTTAATCTCCATACATGTTTATCTTGTTTTGCTTTTTCTTATGCTCTGATGTTTGTTATGCTTTGCGTAGATATTGATTCCCTTCTCATTAAGCCTGCAAACATCTAATCATTCCTATCGGTTTGGTTTTTTCATTTTTAATAATTTATATTTAAATGTTGGCAAATTGAAGGTCTAATTTTGCCCTTTGAATGCTTCTGCATTCAAATTATTCAGGCAGATTTTATCTCTTGTTTTTTTAATTCTATTTTGAGTTTTATAAAAATGGATATTTCTTATTATCCCCCAACCCATAATTTTCTTTAGCGAACTTTTTGTTTAATTTTCTTTTGCCTTAACATTTTATTTTTCAGACACCTCTCATTGAACCTCACGTTCCTCTTCGTCCTGCTAACACCATTAGCAAGGTAATGGGATGTAGGTGGGTTGATGAGCCATCAGAGCTAGCTTCTTAAGTAACCACTGGAGGTGGTCAGTATGTCAGAGCATCACATCAGGAAACCTTGGATACATTTTCTAGACACAGTAAATATTCAGTGTGTTTCAGTTCTTAAATAAAACAGTGACATGTCAGACAAGTGAACAATGTAAATGTGTGAATGAGTTTTATTTGTTCAAGCCAGAGTCAGAAAGTGTTCATCTGGTTTGCTTTCCTTCTATAAATTCTCCTTCTTCCTCTTCCTCTCCTTTCACCTGATTAAAATCCAGGTCCCTTCAGAGAAGATCCTCAGGGCTGGAAAAATTTTACGAAATGCCATTCTTTCTCGAGCACCTCACATGATAAGAGATAGAAAATACCACCTAAAGACATACAGGTATGTGCAATAATCCTAAAGGCTCCAGCCCCCTCAGATTCATGTGTAGTGAAATTGTAGCAAACTTGCGTTTTCTTGTTTTCCATCCATGGGCAGCTTGTTTTATAATCCTCCAGGGTCTGGAAGATCTAAGCTTGTCTTTGATCCCTGCTTAACTTAAATTATCCTTAATATTCCCAGCAGTTACTCCTAAACTAATTTGCTTGGACATTGGTTTAATTGTGATAAACAAAGAGAAGAAAGAAAAATTTTATTTCTGTTTGCTAGTGTCTTTTTAAGGAAATTATTAGATTTAGATGAGATTCAACTTACATTTACTGAGCATTTATTTGTGCTTAAAGCCCTCTGCCGGGCCATTTTCCATATGTTATCTTATTTTACCCTTACCACAACCCTGCTAGGTAGGTGTTAGGCCATTTTTCAGATGATAAAACTGAGGCTCAGAGAGATTAAATAGTTTTCCTTGTCCAAGTCACAAGTCTAGTGATTGGCAGAGACAGGATTTAAACCAACCAAACTTGGTTGATTTCCAACTGCAATGATCTTTTCATTCATTCTATCATTCATTCATTCCACAACTGTATTAAGTACTTACTGGGCGCCAGATGCTATTGTGTTCTAAACCCCAAGGATACAGGAGTAAACAAAATTATACAATGTTCTTTACAGAGTTTACTTTCTACTATAGGATTTCAGTCTAGTATGCATATAGTGAAATATACAACTCTGTATCACATCTATAATCATTTAGAATAAGGACTCGTAGCTGTCACTGGAGTTAAGAAAGTATTTAGTTGAATCTTCTGGGATGACTGAACAGTGGTAGGTCAACTGAAGATCCATGTCTGATTTGGCTTTTGATTTTTTTTCAATTCAACAAGGATTTAGGAACTGGAATGGCCTATGTATGGCACACAAGCCTTCACTCTCTACTTGTACCCATGGATCACCTTCATAACCCTCTTTCAGCAATCACTCAGCTCTCCCATTTAGCATAGACATGACCTCAGAACCCATCAGACTTGGCATGAGTCAAAACCCATTTGATTCACATGACCCAAATTCATAAGGGATAAGGAAAAGCTAGATTACAAATTTTGAAGTTATCCTGAAAGATATATATCTTTCTAGTGACTATCAACTATGATAGAACCTGTAAAATTTGACCTGATTCACCCTATAGCAAACCTTCAAGTACATGTGCCTCAAGATCCAGTCTCTTTCCCAAGGACAGAGATGGGAAAACATGGCAAACTCTTCCTCTTTGGATCACTTTTTCTGTACTCCATGCAACCAAACACTCTTCTGCTTGTGCTTGTCATGAATATGTTTACAAGACCCAAACTGACAGTATATTTGTTACATTAATTGGCCTCTCCTTGGATAGAATTTTGGAAATGAGATGGGATTTGAAAAACACTTTAGTCTTATCAACAAGACACCTTCCATTTCTTAAGACAGATTGTTCATCTAGCCCTTTTAATGTTGACGTTTACTACCTACCATTTTGGATGACTGCATTTGGAACTCTCCAACCCTGGAAGTTCATTCTTTTGGGAGTCTGTGGTCTCTACACACTGCTATAATTTTAAAGGAAGGAAAGGTTAAAAAATAATCATGTGTCACGTGTTCCCAGAGAGAGTTAGAACACTTTAACTCATTAAGTGAATCTCAAAATCTCATATGGCTGAAGGACCTTTTTCTTTCTAAGTCTTTATTATTTTTTCCTCTGACTTAAAATGTGACTATGCTTTTCCAAATGTTGACTTGCATTAGGGAAATTCCATTAAAATATGTCATCTTTGTGACAAAATGGAAACCAGGAGTCAGAAACCATAAACCCTTTCTTGCTCCATAGTACTAACATTTTAAATCCCTGAAATATAGGTGTCATGTCTATTCCACACCCTATGACACAAATTAATGATCTGTTGGTAATAACCCATGCACTCAACTGGACGCTAAAGGGATGATTTCCTTTTTCTGCATCCCAGTTTGAGTTCCTTGCCCCACACCTTGTACTTCCCAGTTCCATCTCTCTCCTTCCTACTCCCCACCCACTTATGCCATTGCTGCAGTATTAGAGCATTGAACTCTCCCCAGATGCAGTATCATCCCCAATGGTCACCATGCTAAGGTCTGCTGTCGATTCTAAAGTGGCTAGAGATCATTAATGCAGAGGAAACGCAGTGATTCCATCAGCCGCAAGTGACACAGCTATGTGTCTTTGTTCTGTATTCTGACTGCAGGATTCTCATACCCTGTACAAGGGCCCAGGTGCTCTGGGATCATCTCAGTTCCTTTTAGTAAAGATAATCATTGAATTAAAAGCCACATGGAATTAATTTTTTATTCTTTTATATGACTTTTCCCATTAAGAAATTCTCAAATTAGAAGAGGCATGTTTTGACAGGTCATGTGTTCAGAATGAATAGTAACTAGGTGTCTCCTTTGCTCATTGAAGTTCTTTATGGGCGTATAGACTGTTTTCAGAGCAGCCCTGGAAACCTGATGGCCTTCTCAGTACATCTTCCTTGTGAAATATTCCAGGGTTGGACCTGAATCAGGGCATCCCAGGAGCTTGGACAGATCTCTAGAATAGTAGAACTGGAAGTGGCCTTAGAGGCTATCTTTTCCTCCTTGTTTTTTTACAGATGAGAAAACTGAGAACCAGAGGGTTTCAACGATATGGCCACAGTCACATAGCTACTAACTAGCAGGCCCAGTGCTGTATCTCATGACCCCTCCCAGGCTAAGCCTCTTCCTAAAGTGCGCAGCACCAGGAAACTCCTCCAGTTTAAACTAGAGAGGAGCTCCCTGAGCTCGACCCCAGAGATGGTGCCATCCTTAGAAGGGGAGGGGAGGCCACGAGTGACAGACCCAGCTGCTCTGTGACTTGCTGTGTTGTCCCCTGGGATCCCGTCCTAAGGCTTCAAGATTCCATTTCCACCTTTGAACCATCATGCCACAAACACCTGCCCTTCTCTCTCACCCCACCTCAGTGTTCTCCCGTGTGTGTGTGTGTGTGTGTGTGTATAATTATATGTTTCCTAACTAATACATGTAGTCTGCCCATCCCGACGAACTTATACAGAGGAGCAACTTGGGGGTGAATGTGTGACTATTACAGAAAGAGTGTGGAGCTCCTCAGATGACAGGCTCTGCAGCAGTGTTCATGCTCATTACATAGGACTTTTTTCAAAGAGATTTGCATCACTAATTGCTTGTTTCTCCCAACACCCCTCTGAGGAAGATCAGTAGTATTACTTGAAAATATAAAGTGCTATATAATTTTGCACTTATACAGCGCCTTTCATGGAGCACCTCCAAGTGCCTCACAAGCATTAACTCATTCCTCACAAGGCTCAGGTGAAGGAAGTCAGAATTTTGCTTTGCCTTCATTTTACACTGGGATTTTCTGGGACCGGCTCAGGGCAAAAGAGTTTCTGGCCCTGGGATTAGCTTGCTAAGATAATGCGCCCCATCTCGTGGCCCTTCAATCTTCCCCACCGAGCTGCAGTTTGTAATGCTTTTTCATTGCCTGGAAGGTTCCCTCATGAGCTGAGTGGTTCTGCTGGTTTGTACAAAAGTTTGAGAACTGGAGGCCACACCATGCCGTGCTTTGTTGGCCCTGAGACCTCTTACGGTGGAAGAGCAGGCCCGGTGCTGTATCTCATGACCCCTCCCAGGCTAAGCCTCTTCCTAAAGCGCACAGCACCAGGAAACTCCTCCAGTTTAAACTAGAGAGGAGCTCCCTGAGCTCGACCCCAGAGATGGTGCCATCCTTAGAAGGGCACGAGCATTTCGGGAAGGTCTTTCAAAAGCCATCTCCCAGCCTTCATTTGCAAGGGGGTGACTTCCCACCCTTTGTGTCCCCGCTCTCCTTAGGCAATGCTGTGTGGGAACCGAGCTGGTGGACTGGATGCTGCAGCAGACTTCGTGCGTTCACTCCCGAACTCAGGCTGTTGGCATGTGGCAGGTGCTGGTGGAGGACAGCGTTCTCAACCACGGTAAGACGAGCCGCAGTCCCCGGAAAGCCCTCTGGAAGTGCTAAATGCGTTTCCCCAGTAAGTTGTTGCTATACTCCCACATGGGCAAGAAAGAATTAATGATCCCTTTAGAGGCCCGCAGAGCCAGCATCTTCATTTGCAATACAAATGCAGCGAGTGGAGGCTGTCAGTTGCTATGTTCCCCCATTGTGCCTTCCTAACTTGGGAGAATGTATGAAGGGAAAATGAAATGGCAACTGGAGTTCATCAGTCGAGTGCATCAGTTCCAATTATGTTTATTAGTTTGCATTCACAGTTCATTGATAGTGTGATTATACTCTGAGCATAGCAATCCTGATGTGGGGGCAGAATGAAGAGCAATGAAATGTGTGGCCAGGCTGATGGCATGAAAGAAAGTAATGAAATTAGAAGCTGCCTTTTAACTATGGTGTGATCTGGGAGAGCCAGTTTGGATACACACAGGATGACCGTATTGAAGATCAGGAATGTGCTCCACAGTTGAGGCCCCTGATTGCTGCAGGGGCGATCATTGGGCAGGGTAGCTGGTCAGGACTGGAGTGGAACTGTGGTTGAACTGCTCGTGCCATTTGCTTTCAGGCCACTTTTCCAAACTGACAAACTACTAAAATCATTCATTTAATTTAACAGCAACTGAGAGAGAGTCTAATGATGGCTTCACCAGTGTTTCTCAGGCTTTAAAGTGAATACGAATCACCTGGGACTCTTGTTAAAATGCAGATTCTGATTCAGCTTTGGGATGCCTCTTGAGGGTCTGTATCTCCAACACACTTCTAGATGATGCTGATGCTGATGCTGCTGTTTGGGATCATGTTTTGAGCAGCAAGAATCTACTATTTGTCTTCATCTTTTGGCAGTGTTGGTGCCCCATATGAAAAGGGGCTTAAAAGCTTTCAGATATAGAAGGGAGAGATTCTGAGTCAAGTTCACTGAGTGTCCTACCATAATCTAAATCTTTTTCTTTAAAAGGAACAAGAGACCATGAGAGAAGATGGACTCTGGAAAACAAACTGGGGGTTCTAGAGGGGAGGGGGGTGGGAGGATGGGTTGGCCTGGTGATGGGTATTAAAGAGGGCACGTTCTGCATGGAGCACTGGGTGTTATACACAAACAATGAATCATGGAACACTACATCAAAAACTAATGATGTAATGTATGGTGATTAACATAACATAATAATTTTAAAAAAGGGAAAAAAACAGAAGGAGATGTCCTTAGATTAAAAAATAATAATAATAAAAAATAAAAAAAATTTTTTAAAAAGGAACAAGAGAAAAAAACTTTTAAAATCAGACCTGTCCCTTCTAGGGTTATATGGCCTGGAAGCTTGGTCTAGTCAGTTTTGTTCAAACAATTAATTTTACTCTAACTTTTTTTTTTTCATTGCAGCGGGACATGTTTACAAACAGTACATACAGAAAGAAAGACATGAATCCCGATCCCTATAAAGTCGGGTTGTTTTAAGTCTGTACTCAAAAACCATTATAGAGCATGATCCGGCAGTTGGTTATTTTCCTGTTTGGGACATGTGCCCCACATGCTAGAAAATGTCACCAAGGCAATTTTTGCTGGTCAGAGTGCTCATCTCAGAAAAGCTGGCAGGCTGTCACAAGAAAGTTGTAGGGCAAGCTGGAGCCGGGCGGGTCCGAGAGAGCTGCGAGGTGCCCGGGCGCAGTGGGGAAGTCACGTCTTCCAGCTGCACGGCCCTGGGCGAGGTGGCGTGAGGGCGGTGAGGAGTCTCACCACTTTGCTGTCACTTGGCCCTCTTGCCCGACCCCGTCCATTTGCTTCTGGTGCACGCGGCTGTGAGACCGAGGGACACCAGCTGACGCTCGTCTTCATGTTTCGCGTAGTGGACCAGGAGCACCACTTCCAAGACAAATATTTATTTTATCGATTTCTGGATGACGAGCCCGAGGATGCCCCTTTGCCTACGGAGGAGGAGAAGAAGGAGTGCGATGAGGACCTGCAGGACACCATGCTGCTGCTGTCGCAGATGGGCCCGGACGCCCACATGAGGATGATCCTCCGCAAGCCGTGAGTGAGAGCGCGGCGGCGCCCCCTGCGGGGCCCGGGGCCCACGGGGGTGCACAAGCACGCTCGCGGGGGCCACAGGCAACCAGGCTGATTTCGAAAGTCCCGGCCTTCACCAAGGGCCAAAGGAGAGGCTCTGTAGGGGGGACACAGCAGGGTTTGTCTCCCCTCTGTTTTATTTGTGAACCAGATAATTCCATTTCCCGTTTGCATGAGTGAAAACTGTACAGATTTTTGGCGGTGGGTTCAGGATGTCAACACTGAGTCCGCCTATTAAATGACCTTTGGGCAATGACAAACAGAAACTGCTCGGTTTCTGTGCCAGACTGCGACAGCCCCTTTCTTTCTAATGCAAGAGGGCGGAGGTCATCAGAACCATAGACGTCATCCCAGTGCTTGCGTTCGTTCATTCATTCAACACATCCTTTCCCGCGGTTCTGAACCTGCTGCTCTTCAGCTTCGAGACGCGTTCCTAGGAGAATACCACTGCTCCATTAGCGCTGCCAGGCCTCCTTTCTGCTTGTGCGATGCTCTCTCCCTTCCGTCTCAGCCGAAACCTCCTCACCTTCAGTAACAGCCCATCAGCTATGCTGGAGGGTTCTGAAGTGTTTAATCAGATGGATTCAGAAAGAATGTACTGAGCCCCTGTTTCACTCAGGGAGCTCTCCTGGTTGCTCTGGGCCATACAGAGTAGCATATCCTCGGCCCCAAGGGATGACTTGGCACTTAGTTCTGAGGCCACCACACACAGGCTTATGTTTTTCTTCTGGGAATAAAATGGCCCTCCACCCTGCGACCAGGGCCAGCAGCCGTGGATGTCAACTCTGAGTCATGGGCCTGGCCAACCTCCATTTATTAGCGGGTCCTGACAAGAGTATTTAACTTTACATATCTTGTGTGTCCACTGGGCACTTTCCAAAAGTGCTATGTCCCTCAGACCAACTTCCCCAACATCTGCCCCTCAGACCAACCTACGGGACTTCTCAGTGCTCCTGTTCCCTTCCTTCAACATATTTCATTTTTTTGTCATGTTATGTCCCCTTTGTCAAAACTTTCTTTTGGGTCTTAATGTCCACCACCATGTGTATCAAAGGCCTGCCCTGATTCCAGTTAGCACCATCATTTTTAGCTCTAGAATATTCATTCTAGTTCGGCTGCTTTAGCCTCAAAACCCTTTATTCAAACAAAAATTTTACAGAAAAATCCAAACTATCAAACAGAAAAGCCAGCACTTCACTGACCTAATTATGGTTGGCATCTGAGAACCTTACCCAGCCAATATATGCTCTATCTGCCCTGAAGGATCACAGGGGTGGGTGGCTGAGGGGACACGAGAGAATCATCAGGGCATGGAGAACTCAGATGAACCCCATTCTAAACCGTGCTTTCTTTCACATCAGCCTGCTGTCCTCTCTCCCTTCTCCATACACCTTTGTCCCATTGTCTGGATCCATCCCGTTTTTGCTGCCACTTTCATTCAAGCCAACACCATACAGTGGTTCTGGATCAGAAGTGGGACAGCCTCCTAAGGGGCATTTGGAAATGTGGGAGGATGTTTTGGCTGCATCAGTGCATGAGGGGCCACACTTCTGCCATTCACTGGGCAGTGGCTTGGACCAAGGGATGCTAAACACACCCAACAATACCTAGGACCCTACACAATAATGAGCTGTCCTGAAACTAATGCTCCTGTTGAGAAACAGTGCTGTAAGCTGTGAGTTTCTGAAAGGCAAGGACACGTCTCATTTTACTTCATTCATTCATTCATTTAACCAATATTTGATAAACACCTATTTTGTTCTAGATACTATGTTTAGTTGCTAAGGTTAAAGCATCGAACAAGAAGGTTGCTCCTCCTTCCTGGAGCTTTCTGTCTAGTCCAAGAGACAGACCTTAAACAGTTATGCAAGGAATCATTTTATCATGGCTGTAGTACATGCTAGTACAAAGGAAAATGTAGTGTATATTAATGGAGTATAATATGGAAAGGGGGATTTAATCTGGCGTAGAAGTTAGAGAAAGCCATATTCCTAGCTCCATGCATTCCACCCAACAGACCATCAGTAAACCTTTGCTGAGTGAATTAATGGTCAAATGAATATATAGTCCCAGCTAATGTGCCCTCAGCTCTTAGTTGCTTCAAGAGAAGCAGAAATGCCATTTGATTTACAAAAATTTTTGAGCATGGGCCAAAGAGGTTCTTTAAAAAAAGTAATAAAATGGTTCCTGCCTTTGGAAATTTTATAATCCAGTAGGGGAGGCACTCCCAAATTAGATTCTGATGCAACAAACATTTATTGAGAGCCTGCTGTGTGCGAGAAACATTCATGCTAATTGCTTGATTCACCCTCACAAGAGCCTGAGAGCTGGTTTCATGAGTGACCCTTAGAAATAGGAGCCTATGCTTATGCTTTTCTTCTTCCATACAGCACTGAATTGCATGATCCTTGGCAGCCCAAAGATTCTTCAGAGAAAACTACTTTCCAGAGGTTGGGTTTTTCCAGTCAATCACTGGAAAGTACAGGTTTCACCAGTATTCCAAGACACATCATTTGGGTGTCCTTGGGACTTCCCCGTCTTTCCAGGTTTTATGAAATTTACAAAATTAGAATCGAGCTGGTAGTTCTTCTGACTCAGTATTCTTTTTCTTTCTGTTGGAATGACAGCCCCGAAGAAATAGGAAAGTGATGAAGAAAGAATCTAATTTGGGGGGACAGACTTTCAAATTCTATACATACACATACACACTTTTTGGGGGGTGGGGGGAGTCCGATAATAACTGTTGGAGCTTCAACTTTATTTTATTTAAGTGGAAAGAAAATACACTTAGTTGATCAAGAATTGCCAGTATCACTGCTATCCTTAAAGAAACCAGCTGAGCACTTTGCTCCTGGAAACTTGAGGGCATGTTTAAAGGTCCTGGAAATGTTGACTTTTTACTGCCCAGACAGCCAAGTCATTAGGAAATGTGGAGGCATGATGTATTGGCTCCATATCGACTGGGGCAGGACCCCCCAATTTTTTTAATTCAGCACAGCTGCATTTTATAATAGTCACCACTGCCAGAGAGGCTGCAGAACTCTGATAATTACTGGGAAAGAAATAACACAATATTCTTTGATGAGAAGATTACTTTGAGAATTTGATTGTATAATGAAGATGTTGCTTTGAAAGGTACTTCCCATTGTTCTGAATCTGAGACTCGCTACCAAAAAAAAAAAAAAAAGTGTCACTTGTTTTGACAGGCTACTTAGAAAAATTCTCTGTTTATTACATTAACTGCAGCATTTTAGCTGTCAAACTATGAAAGAATGTTCTGTAGTTTAAAAAACAGAATAGAGCTTCAGGGGAAATTTTTTGGCATACTCTTGTTGCTATTGGTATTGAAAAAAAAAAACATACATTCTGAATGTGAAATTAGCTTTTTATGTGGTGGCAGGCAGAGTGACTCACAATGCCCATCCTGGTTTCACAGGTTCAGACCTGAATGGCACTGGGGGGCAAGTACCATAGAACAATGACAGTTTGATGGTGCTGCTGTCGCAGGCAGGGCCATCAAACTTCAAATGAGCTCTTGGAGCTAATTGTTTTGATTCTGCTTTGTTTATAAGTCTAAAAACAAGAGGTTACCCTACAGCAAGGAGATACAGTGGAGCCCCTTGCCAATAGAAATGTTCCTTCTGCTTACCTTTGAGCAGAGACTTTGGATAGGGGGCCAAGGGGAAAAAGATGTAGAGTGACCAGGTAAGCAGGATCTTATAAGCTCAGGGGCCCGCTGGATAAAGAAGCTTCAAGAACACAAAGGGCTCTGATCGTCGTCCATGCCTCTCAACCTCTTCTTCCAAGTAAAGTGAGAGATGATGTCCCACTGTTTAGCATGGTCTGTCCGAAACCAGCCTAAAGATGGGAGGGAAATGAAGTGGATGCCATTTGCCAAATCTAGTTCTAGGTAGGTCTGCAATTCTGAAATTCCCCAAAAGCCTGGAAGCTTAACTAGTTGAGAAAGGGATAAGTTAGTTGGCCTAAGCAGAAGGGGTGGGGGGGGGATATATAGATACATAAAACAAAGAAATAGTATATAAATATGTAAAATATGTGTAACAAAGATATGATATATGAATACATATATATACGTGTATATATATATACACAATATTCTATACACACACATATATATACACACACAATACACACACACACAGAATTCTTGGCAGATTCTGGAATTTTCCAAATGAGCGAGTAACTCAGAAAGTTGAGTTCATTTATTTCATGTGATAAATTAATATTTTCTAACATATGCTATAGGGCATAAGTTTAAAAGGAAACAATTTGGATGATTAAGTGATAGGAGAAAACACGCAGTGAGAGTGGGTTGTTAATTGGGTCAGTTGGCTGCATTAAGGCAGCCCCCACCTGCTGTTCCACACACTTGCTCTAGAGGGCATTTGAGAGGCTGTCTATTTTCTCCATATTAGTAGAGCCTGTTTTAATAGGGTCTTTATCTGTCCAAACTGTTTTTGAGGGTGTGAAATTTGAAATCCTGATAATTACAGGGAAATTTGCTTCCTCAGGGGAGCCCAGATTAGCAAGCCTAAAATCAGTGATGCCTAGGGTTTTGATTTCTGTTGGGATATGCCAAGAAATGTTCAAAGTTACGAAATTCATCCTCAAATGCAAATCAGATGAAAAGAGAAACATGACTTAAAGATCCTAATCTTTATGAAATAAGAAATCCATTGTGAATCTTTTCTTTCACTGCATGGCAAACTTTGCCTTTGTTTTTTTCTGGAAAGATTGCTGTGCCCTAAGTGAAAGCTTGTAGAATTTACCAGAAGAAATGATTGCATTAAGTGGGCCATTTCTTGGGTTTGGATTTGTTGCCTCTCCCCTATGAAGGCAATTTACTACTTACCCCTCATGTTTACGTGCCCAAGCAGCCAACCACTGGATTACTGCCACTGAGATTCAGATTTGGGAGAGGGGAAGATGGATGTACTGCCCAT